GGTTAGTTTGAGTAGAAGCAACCCTTTACTTCTACCCAAACTATTGTAAGAGTCTCCTCCTTGCTGTCCCTTCCCTCCTGCCCGTCCACCCAATCCTATGCCTCTCAGATGAAAAATTAATTCACTTCCCTCCCTTCACTTTAATCCTCAAGTTTAACCTCCTTGATTCGGCACACAAGTCCAGGCCATCTATGTAATGTGACCACTGCCTTCTCTGGCCACCACCCCCAGGCGCCTCTCAGATTGGCTGAGCGTGCCTCGTTTATGTAATTTCTCCTCTACCTTTCCTGATCTCCTCCTCCTTCTCGCCCCATCTTCTCTAGATGACTCTATATCATATCACAAGATACTGCGATTATTGACCTGTTTCCTTCACTACAGTGTAACCTTCCTAAGAGCAAGAACTCTGCTTTGTGCTACATTGTATCTAGGCTGAGCACACTGTGTTGACACTGAGGTCACTATTAGTCACTATGAGTAGGCTACAAGTCACTGCCTGCTGTCATTTATCCCAGCAAAGTGGGAAAGGTAGAGGTGTCAACAGGACACCGAGGAAGGGGTAAGTGGAAAGCATTTGCCAAATATATGTCAGGCCACCTTCTGGCGCTCGCCAGGGCCCCAGGCGATGCGTGGTTACACGTGACCACGCATGAAGGGACAGCAGGATCACTGAGGAAACTGGGATCATGTTTTTGAAAAACAGTGGCATCCCTGAAAAACGAAGAAGAAGGAAAAACAGTCGCCAACTCCGACTTAAGTTTTACGAGCTGAAACCCACGGTGAGCAGGGCCGCCTCTGGCTATTGTCACACGAAAGGACGCAGCGATTTCAGGGCTGGCTCCACGTATGACTTAACGTCTGGTCTTTCCTGGGACCCTCTGAGCGACAGCCTAGCCCACGTCAGGACGCTCCGGATGTGAGGAAGCGAGAATGCCAGGCCTCCAGACAGCTGAGCAGCATGAGCGCACTGCGCTCCTCGTCGGACCCGTGAGGTGACCCTGGCTTTGAACGTCCCCATTGCACCGCTAGTGATTTCGAACTCTCAGGGGAGGTGGCGGTGTGGACCGCGCTCTTCCTCGGCCTGCACCCTCTCACCTGGGTGTTGAGAAGCACCCCCTGTTCCAGCAGCTCAGGAAAACACGAGCTACAGGGCGCAGGGATCCCATTATTAATGGTCCCATAAGACCTGTCCCTACAGTCAGGATGGTGCCACCACTGGAGAATGTTACATTGATGTGGGTTTTGTTTTGTTTTTTTTTCCCAATATTCTTTTAGGCTAAACTAGCAGAGGGTACTTACATGACATGTGAGCCGGGTGGCCAGTGCCCTGTATCTATTTATTACCGTCAATTTTGAGGCAGCTGCCTGTAGGGAAAAAAAGGGAAATGCTGACCAGATCCCTGGAGAGCGTGCTCAGGCTGAAAACACCTGTGTCTGGAGTGGCCATGGCTTAAGGACACAGGTCTTAAAAAAGAGACCCGTCTGCATTGCGTTAAGGTGTTCGCAAAGGACAGCGAGCAAGGTGACCTGGGAGCGGCCGGCCTGGACCGGCCCTCGGGGCATCCACTCGAGAGCTGAGGGGCGTAGGGCAGAGCATGGAAACCAGTCAGGGGGAACGGAGTCAGAAAGATGGTACAGGTGTCATTTAAAAAAAAAAAAAGTCTGAAATAATGTTAGATTTACGGGACAGATGAAAAGGCAGAACCGAGAGTTCCCACAGATGGGTCACCCAGCTTCACGGGAGGGCGCGTCTCGTCTGAGATCGAAACCGAGAACCGCAAACAGGTGCCGCGCCGTAAGCTAAGCCTGTATGTCAGTGTTACCAGACTCCCCTAACGACCGCTCTCTGTTCCAGGAATCCAGGATCCCACTTCGCATTTGGTCATTGTGTCTCCTTAGTCTCATCCGATCTTGTGACAGCTTCTCAGTCTTTTCGAGTTGGTCGTGACCTTGACGTTTTTGAAGAGTACTCGTTAGGTACGTTGTACAGATTCATTGTATCTGTAAAGAGCTGTTGGAAGGAGTCATCTCGGCCTATGACGGGGAGTGGACTCTAGCCTGTGACAAATCCGGGTGACGAATCTGGGCTGCTCTTCCTGTGTGGCCCACAAGCTAAGAACGGTTCTCACATTTTTTGTTTTTTCACAGTTGAAAAGAATCAAGAGGAGGAGGTTTCATGATATCTGGATATTGTCAGCAAAGCCACGTTTCAGTGTCCACGGCCACGTGTCTGTTTGGCACGTGGCCACGGTCATCCTTTTCTGGGTTGTCCTCGGCTGCCTGTGCCGTGTGTCTGTTCCACCAGCCCACGGAGGGGCCGCCACAGAGCCTGTTTGGCCCTCGGAGCTTCAGTGTCCACTCTCCGGCCCTTTCCAGGGCAAGTCGGCCTGTGCCGACTGGCATTCGCTTGTATTCAAAAGCTAAGTCAGCTATTAAAAGGGCATTGAAGCTTCGGGTTCCTTCATCTCATCGCCCCACAAATATTTAACGAGGGCCCATCGTCAAAACCAGCAGAGACCCCCTATTTGAGCAAGTGCTAACTGGCACTCACACTCCGGAACTGCGAGAGGTTCGGTCTCATCAAACGTCTTCCCGAGTGAGTCGCAGGCACAGTCTCCGCCTGTAACAATAATAGCTGCTGCTGCCCTATTTTGACTGCTCCCTTACGCCACTAACGCTCGACTTGTACCATCTCTTTTAATCCTCACCTCCGCCCCAGGTGTTCCAGGAGGAAACTGAAGTTTAAGAGACTAGCCACACCCAAGGGCACCCAGAGAGCTGGTACATGGCGGAAGCAGAAAACAACCCCAGGCCAGCCCCCTGGGCTTCCAGCCCTGGAAGATGCACGGGAGGGGCCCGGGCTCTGGAGTAGAGAGTGGGTTTGGGGGGCGGCCCTTGCTGCTTCCTGGCAGACCACCGCTGTTTCTCCACGCTCTCGAGCTCTGCGAGCACCCGACCAGAGACCCCCATCTGAAACGGTATTCTTTTTTTTTTTTCCTTCTTTCATAGGAACATCATCATGTGCTTTTTTGGTGCTCAGCGTTTTGTCCTTCGGGCTGGATGTGCAAAGCCAACGATCCTGTCTTCGATCTCTTCCTCCTCCCTTTCTGGCGTCGCTGCTCCGCCACCCACACTGTTGGAGAGTCTGAGTTCTCTGCTCGCTTGGCAGGAAGGCTGCCCTTGGATGCGTGTCCTTCCTCCCCACTACCTGTGTGGCCAGCAGGCGGGGCCTGCCCGGGACGGGGGCGGGGGGAAGGGGAGGCCCTCCGGGGGCCGAAAGGCACACACGTGCTGCTCTCTGCGTTGGTCAGAAGAATTGAGAGAGACACCAAGACAAGAGCACCTGCGTAAAGGGGTACCTGCGTAAAGGTGAGGAGGAGCCCATGGGCCAGGTTGGGCTGGGATCAGGGTGGGAACGCCACCGACGTGGGTCCTGCTGCTGTCCCTTGCCGTTTTGGCCTTCTTCGTTGGCTTTCCTGGTTCACCCCATATTGACTTAAAGAGATGCAGGAAGCTGCCTCGGCACAGTGAGAGCATCTCACCCTGGGTTTGACAGTGGCCCGGCCACACTGGGTCCAAGTGATCACTGGTCAGTTCTGCTGAAGACAATATTCTAATATGTGTTGTCAATAAGAACAAAATCAGTGTGCCAGATTTAATGAAAGAGGCCTCTGGTTGGTGTCCAGACTGCATCCAATTCTGAGTTATTTTTTTGAAGAGAATAAGTCATTTGAGAGTTTCCTGTTCCTTAAAATGTCCCCAGGAACTTTTTAACTGGCTTGGTAACATATCTCCAAAGCCCTCGGCAGCTGCAAAGTTGATTCATAAAGCTTGTTTTTGCGTTTTTTAAAAAAGAACAAAATGTAAACTAGGTTGCAAAGCCCTGGTGACACAATGTGATCAGCGGGTTCCTGCAGAACCTTGGCCCATGCTGTCTGTCCCAAGGTCACAGTGACACAGCCTGGTTCGGAGTAGACAGTTCCACTCTGTGTTCCAGGGTGTTCTAAAGACGCCCTCTGCCAATTTTCCGGGTGGACGCCTGCAGCGGGGAGGGCTCCGCGCGCGAAGAGGCCGCTGCTCTTCAGTTTCTCGCACAGACCTCAGCTCCTCAGCACCAAGTACCTTGCCGGGGATCAGAAACGGTCTCTCGAATGCTAGTTCCTCTGGGAAAGACCTGGTTTGGACGGGAGGGTGTGTTGGGCTGAGTCGAGCGCGGGGAATAACGTCTGGCACGTCGGCCTGAAGGAGACCTCACAACCGAGGTCAAAACACCGCCGGAACCTAGTAGTGTTGCCGAAACCTCGCCTGAGCTGGACAACTGGCCCGCTTTTGCCTACTAGGTGTTTTGCAGCCCAGTGGAGCATGAAGCGGTGACCCGACGACACCGGTTTCTGTGGGGGGTGGGGGGCGGACGGGGGCCGGGGGCGTGCTCACGGACTCCGGTTGGTATGTTCTGCCCCGCAGGCTGGCTGTGTGGTTTCTGAGGCAGGTGCAGCACACACAGGGTCCTGGGGTGCATTTTGCATTCTCTCTGACAGTTGCCACCGGAGTTAAGCATGGCCAGCGATGCGCTTCGTAACGATCACACATGACCGCTTGGGTACGTTGCTGCTAAGAAGCCACAGAGCCCAGAGACCCCGGCACCCCTGCCTCAGGCTAACAGCAAACAGAGTGATCCACATGAGGCCACATTAGGCCGATGGTCCAGGTGGTACTTGAGGGTAAGGGAATAAGGTCGCACGCATCACTAGGAAGTCCTGCTGCTGGCTAAGGCCCCCTCTGTCCCCGGAGACCGCACCATCTGCAGGCAGCATTACATCCCTTCAAACCCCCCGCCAAGCAAGCACTTCTTAGATTGGGCACAGAGACAGTGCCCCATGTCTAGCCACCGTTAACATCCAGCTGCCAGTGTTTTCCTTGCCTCTACCCACTTGTCTTGTCTCAGAAACAGTGGAATGCCCGACGTTGTGAATTCCATTGCTTAACAAAAATCTGCTTTTAATGCCTAAACGTTCTAAAGATTAGAGCGGGGGTAGAGAAATGCAGGCCAAGTGGTGCCTCTTGGGAAACAAAAACAAAAACAGAACAGAAAGCAAACGCGCGCACACAAAGTCCTTTGTGCCTCAGACATTCCTGACCGCTTCACTGGTGGTCCGTAGGTTCTCGTCTGGAACTGGATGAAAGGGCTAAGCCGAGAATCTCCGTCGCGAAGATTTCTGCGGTGATTTCGTCCGGAAGTTCGTCTTCGAGGCACAGTTGTGAACCTAGACGAACGAGAAAACAAACGTCTTCAAAATGATTAGGTTTCTGACGCAGAACCATTTCCCAAAAACACACGGCAACGATACTAAAAAGCGAGGAGTGCTTCGTGCTGTCGTTTAGTTTGGATTCCTTGAAAACCCCTGAGTGGAAACTGGTTAAAATCCTTCTTTTGTGGCTTGGAGCGCTGGCTCCCCAGATCTCTGCGAATGTCACTGGAAAGCCTTAACTACACGGCAGGGCTGATGTTACTGTTTCGAGACACCTGGGAACACAGCATAAGCGCATAACAATGGGGACGTTACATCCCCAGGTGCACGAGGAACGGGCTGCAGGTTGGAAGTGGCCGATCGGATACCCGGCTCTGGAACTGAGTTCGGGCATCGTTCCATTTGAAATCGGGGACAGACAGCGCGAGAATGGGAGGAGGCGGCCCAGTTGGGAGTCTTTGCTCCTGACCCCAGGCATAGTAACCACGGCGGTGGCTCTGACCACCACGGCATCCTCAGGCCACCACGGTGCCCTTAGGCCAGCGTCCCGGGCTGTCACTGGAGTCATTCCCACACAGGGGGCCCAGGCGAGGGGTCTGGACCGGTTCCTCCTGAGCTGACATTCGCACCCCAAACTTCAGGGCCATCTTCGTTCCTCCGGTGACCAGGAGGAGGAGGTGAGGAGTCCTTCGGCGGGAAAGGTGAGCTTCAAGAAGGTTTGTAAAGACTTTCAAGTTCCGGCGGCTTGAAGTTGGGCTCACGCCAACCACTGAGTGGGGGCAGGGGGGGGAGTGGTCTCCTTACTGGGGCGCTCTTGATAACCCCTGCTCTCCTGAGATAGCTTCTGACCTGTATCGTCCACCAGCGGCCAATGTCCACCCCCACCCCGGAGCTGGCAAGACGAAGACCGGGTCAGTGGGCTAAAGGGACAAGCACGGGGATGTAGGCTTCCGTCTCTTAGGCACGACCGCCGCTCACCGGCCCTTTTGTAACTTATCCGTGCTGGGTTCCGAGCTGGGTTCGCGTTGTTGTGTGCAGGGCGTTCAGGGAGTGGCTTGCCCGGGCGAGGGGTAAATAAATGCGCCTGAGTGCACAGCGGGTGAGCAAGCCACGGACGGCTACGTGTGCTGCGTGTGTCCTGTGTGCCCTGACGTGGCCGGTCCCCGTACCTTTGGTGGAGGCGGCCGCAGGCTCCGATTTCCAGCCCTCGGGATTCAGACCCAGCAGCGTCGCTAGGCAGTCGGACAGCTCCTCCTCCGTCATGTGCTCACCTGGGTACCGGGGAGGAGAAAGGCGGCCAGTCAGCTCTTGGAACTAAGCTTGCGGTCAGAGCTCAGTATCGACCTTCCGAGGTCTGATAGAGAATTATTCCGCTATTTCCTTTTCTTGAGACACAAAAAAACCATCTAGAGAGTCCTATGGTGCTTTCACAGGTGCTTCCTGATCTGGTGTTAGACTGGGCCTCCAAATATGTTGGGGCTCGGAGGGAGGAACCAGACAATGCTCCGGAAAAGACCACCCCCAGCTTTAGTTCAAAGCCCCTCACATTAGGGCCACCAGTCTGAGTAAGACGAAATGATGACCCAGAGAGAACGCCTACTCCACTTCCTCACATGAAATAATGAGGAAAATAGTAGGTCAAAGGGAACGTTTTTACTTTGGCGTGGTTTTCTTTCACGAATGCATCCCATCCCATGAGAGCCGAATCTCATAGCAGCCCTGTGAGATCGACGGCTGGCACTTTCATCCCTATTTTATAAGTGAGGACACCGGATCTTGAAGTTTCAGGAAGCGGGAACATAACGTCCTTCCCCCTGACCAGGTACACGGGTCAGCAAGCGCATCCCTCGGACCGAAGCCCCGTCTGTAAACAAACATGCCGGGGGTCTGCCTCCCCGAACCCAGCTCTCTCCAGCGGGAATGGTCCAAGGGTTTGACCGGACATCCATAGGTATGGGTTCACCTTTGGTGAGAAGTAGTTTCAGGAAATCCTCTCTTCGAATAACTTTCTTTCCTTTGGAATTGGTGTAACCGAGAATGTTGAAGCTCCTCTCGATGGCGTACATGGTGTTCCCGAAAGGCGGCCGGTGGTTGAGGTAAACTTTGAGGAAATCCGGTAAGTTGATTTTGTCAACTATCTCTCCACTGTCCACGTACTCACTAAATCTGATCTCGTTAAACATATCTTCAATCTGGGGAAGAGGTTTAAAAAAAAACAAAAACAAAAGAGACCGTGGTAAGCAGGAAAGACAGTGATGGACTTCTAAAAATTGGAGAGTAACAGACAAATGTTCACCGTTATCTTCGAACTTGTCTGTTATGGGTTGACTATGTCCCCCCCAGAAAGATATGTCGAATTCCTAACCCCTAGGACCTCGGATTACGACGCGAGTTAGAAACGGGGTCATGGCAGACGTCATTAGTTAAGATGAGGTCACGCTGGGGGAAGGTGGGCCTTTAATCCAGTGTGACTGGTGTCTCTAGAAGAAGAGGAGAGAGACATATGGGCAGAAGGTGGCCCTGTGAGGGTGGAGGCCTCAGAGACTGGGGCGACACGGTTTAAGCCAAGGAAGGCCAAGGGTTGCTGGTCACCCCCAGGAGCTGGGAAAGGCCAGGAAGGCTTCTCCCCAGGGGCTTCACAGAGCATGATACCTGGCTGATACCTTGATGTCGGATTTCTGTGAGGAACTATGTTTCTGTTGTTCTTAGTGACACAGTTCATGGTGCTTACGTAAAGGCTGCCCTAGGACAGTGTCCCACGTGTTGACGCTGTCGGCGCTGTTGCATTTTATCGCGTTTTACCTAAGTACCTCGCATGGTATCAACTGCCTCCTTTCTCTGTGAAGTGGATATCAGTTTCATTTAAAAGACGGAATCCTCGGGAAATCAGAAATTAGTTTATATGAATAAGCAAATAATTTAGGGTGGAACTCAAATATTGGACCTCTGGCCCTCATAAACTTCGTAAGACAATTAACTGCACCTTACGATTCCTTTTTCCTTCCTTTTCCATTTTTATTCTGCAATGTTTTTTATATATATATCATATTTTACATTCACACACACACATACACACACACAAAGGTATATGTAACTTATGTGGTATCAATTTTTAAAATGAACACCTAAAAAGCCATTATTAATCGAAGAAATCGACAAAATGGACAAATCTTTGGCCAGACTAACCGAGAAAAAACGAGAGAAGACTCGAGGAATTGCTAAAATCAGGAATGGAAGGGAGGACATCAGTACCAACCTTATAGAAATAAAAAGGAGTATGAACAACTATATGCCAACAAATCAAATAACCTAGATGAAATGGACGAATATCCCAAAAGAGACAAATGACCAAAACTGACCCAAGAAGAAATAGAAAATCTGAATAGACCCAAAACAAATAAAGAGATCGAATTAGTCATTTAAAACCTCCACAAAGAAAAACCAAGGACCAGATGGCTTCACCGGCGAATTCTGCCAAACATTTAAAGAAGAATACGCATTCTACACAACCTCTCCCACAGACAGAATAAAAAGCAGCAATTCACGATTCATTCTATGGGGCCTGCTTCCTAACTTAGAAAGTCATTCTTTGTGTATTTTCCAAATCTTCTAGAATTGAGCAAAGGGTCTGACGTGTCTGTGGATTCGGACGGGAAGGTGGTGCCTGTTAACGCAGGTCTCCACGCGGGATTCTGGCTTAACACGAGAGAGCGAGAAATACAATATAAAAACAAACACCACCAGTCCTCACTGCCATCAACCTGTGTCTGTGCAGTATTTTTGTACCATGCATGTTGCAGTCACCTGAATTCCAGGAACCCGAATTACGTCTGGCAAAGGGCTAGAAGTAATTCATTTCAGTGTCTACGTTTATTTTTATTTTTCAATTAGAGTTGACATTCCATATTATGTATCTACATTTTAAAGTAATATGTCTCCTAAAAAATTGTGGGGGTTGGAAATTTACAGAGAGAGAGAATGAGAGCCACAGCAAAGTGGGCTATAACTTTTTATCCCTAGAATGTGAACTCTACTTTGGTTGATAGGAATGAATCAGGCAGTGAATCTATATTTGTGCACAATATTTATCAATTATTTATTACCTTTTCCTCCCTGTCCACTAAATAAATGTAGGACAAAAGTTGAAAGAGCACCAGTTTGCAGCAACACCAAATATCAGCCTGTCTGGGGCCCCCTTCTGTCTTGTTCTGGCCTCAAATATCAGGATGAAAATAAAAACCTCTTACAGTCTAACTGTCCAATCACAATTTCTATGAAAGATCTGGGGTCCTTTCAATTTTTTTCATGCGTATAAAATATGTTTATTTTTTGCCATATTGGTATCATATATATGCAATACTGGTATCGTATATATCATATACATATACTTTTGTATCATGCTTTTTTCCCTTTGATACTGTGTCTTAGTAATTACCCACTATTTGCAAAGAAACCACATATTCTCAGTGCAACATTCCAGAAATGGTCTTTTGAAATAACATCGCTAGTTAGGACACAAATTAACTACAATTGATACCACATAAGTCGCTTTAAATGGTAACACTTTCAAATATAACACTTATAGAGTTTAAATTATAGACAATTGCATTACGTCTACTTTTATGTAAACTAAAACACTCTCCAGTAACATCTTATTTACATATTGTAATGTGTAATTTTAATACTATCGTTATATATTTGTACTACTACTTATGATGAGCCAGTGGAGACTGGGGCTAAAAGTATGATCTTTGATGACAGACTTAGGTTCGGACCCCGGCCCTGCCATTTTCTACGTGACCTTGGGTGAGTCATTTTACACTCCTCAGCCTCGGTTTCTTCATCTTGAAAAAGGTAACATGGTAAAACGCATGCACCGGACGGCTCTGAAGTTCCCTGTGAGCGTGGACGTAAAGCACTGAACGTCACGCCTTGCACACGGCAAGCGCTCCGCAGGCGGTCGCTCTTCTTGGGATTATTTGTGCGCCTTTGCTAATTACACGTCATTAAAGATTATCATTTAGCATTGCATAAATTAGAACCTAAATGATAGACGTTAAGTATAAATGTAACACGTGATTTAACTCGGTTCAGAAATAGGAGACCAACCCAAAGACGACCAAAAAGGAATCCCGCCACAGTGCCTGAGTCACTCGGGCCCGAAGCGCTGCCCTGATCTCCGTGACCGTTCTCAGCCCGATCCCAGCCGCGGCGACTCACCTCCCACTCCTTCCTGCGTGACCGGTCAGGAATCACTGCTCGAGAGAGGCAGAGCTGGTCGTCTTTCCCGAGCTGACGTGTCTTTCCCGAGCCTACTTTGCAAGCCTTAGTCGGAAAGGCAGGTTCTGCTGCATGTCTAAACCAAGTTCACGCTTGGACAAGAACCTCGGAGCCGGAGCGGGAACGTCCAGAACCTTCCCAGTGCCCCAGGGTGTGCAATGGTGATGCTGGAAAGGGCGGAGGCCTGCTGCCCTGCCCCCGCCCCCCAGCATTCGGGTGGACCTTTATTGGGGTTCTCGCACTGGCCTAACCTCCGCCAAGGCGGTGAGTGGTTCCTTCGACTCACCCGGGGAGCTTCGAATGTTCTCATGCCCTTCCCCATTCCCAGAGACCCTGATTTAATTGGCGCGGGGTGGCGTCTGAGCAGCCCTAGTTTTAAAAGCTCCCCAGGTGATTCGAATGCGAGGCCAAGGTTGAGAAGCGTGGCTTCGAGGCAGAGGTCCTCACACTCGGTCAGGCATCAACGTGGACCAGGCAGGCTGGTGAAAACACGGACTGCTGGCTCCGTCCCAGGAGATTCTGATTCGGTGAGTCTGGGACAGGGGCCGGGAGTCCCCAGGCGAGGCCCAGGCTGATGCTCTGGAGGCCACGGGGGTTCACGGAGGCGACGCTTGCACCGAAAAGAATCGGCATCGGCCTCGTGCTTTTCCTTAGAGAGTCATGACAGGTGGCAGCCGTGGCATACGCGCCACTCCTTTGGGCCACACCTGTGTCCTCCACTAAGCTGGGGCGATAGCTTTCTCTTCTCTTTCGTCAGCAGCTCAGTTCCTAGGGGCCCGGAGAAATGTCGAATGAACGAAGTCAGTAATCGACGCGGGTGTGAGCGAGGCCGAGGGAGAATCTCTCCTGAAACTCACAAAAGCCCTGTTTAGAATAACCACTCACTGCCCTAAGTGGTTTGATTTACTCGTAGTTCCTAAGCACTGGGTTTATTGCCAATAAGAGGCGAGTCACTTAATTAGCACTAGGACAGCCCTCCGGTTTAGGAGTTTTCGGTCTCAGTCAGTCAGCGAATGTTTATGAGACACCTACTAAGTGCCAGGCACGGGGCTGGGCCCTGCGAAGAGACACTCCAGAAACGGCACGCGGAGAGGGAACGAACCGGAAGGCTCCGTCGCCACCGTTCGCGGCCCTGGCTGCCCATAAGGAATACCTGGGCTTAAAAAAAAAGAATCCCACCCACATGCCATCATTCTGTTTGATTGACAGGGGAGGGGTGCCCAGGCACCAGGATTTTTTGGGGGTGCCCTCAAGTGATTTTTAACATGGTTGGATACCATGGCCCTAAAAGATTCGGTGCCCAAATATGGGGGATCAACATTAAAACGTGGAGGGCTCTCAGCTAGATGTGCCCGGAAGGCTTCCTGGAAGAGGTGCACCTGGAGGACGGCCAGCACGGATCCAGCCGGTGTGAGGTGAAGGAACACACCGCAGGCTGGGACACAAGTGTGGGGAGTGGGGCGCAAGGGAGGGGTGCTGTCATAGATGACTCCGCACTTCATGACACGAGGCACACAGACGGACCTTCCGGTTCTCCGGGTCAGAAGTCCGAGATGGGTCTTCGGGGCTAAAATCGAGGTGTCAGCGGGGCCACGCTCCTTCAGGAGCTCTGGTGGGAAATCTGCCCCCCTTCCCGTCCCGGCTCCCAGAGGCTCCCAGAGGCTCCCAGAGGCTGCGGCCGCGGCCCCTTCCGCCTTCAAGGCAGCAGTCTCGTCACTCGCTCTGACCTGTCCTTCCCTCGTCATGTCTCCTCCTCTGTCTCCGGCCCTCCTGCCTCCCTCTCAGCGAGACCCTTGTGATGCCACTGGGTCCGCCGGCTGATCCGGGATCAACTCCCGTCTCACGAGCCTCACCTCGATCGCACTCGCCAAGTCCCCCTTTGCCCTGTGAGGCGACGCATTCACGGGTCGCA